CAGCACTCCATCCATCTGCTGATCACACTCCCCATCGCCTTGCTTTCAGAAATCCACAGCCAGGGAGATTAAAGGAAGGCAAAGGACGCTTTTGAAGAATGGCATCGTGTACAGTGCCTAGGAAAGTAAGGCGCATCCCGGGTATAATGCACACATCCAGGCTGCCATATATGAGAACAGGTCCATTCTCATACAGCATAACACCCCTTTTTTTTCTCATTATTTCACACACACTGTCACAGCAGGGAAGAATCATTGTGTGTTTGTGAGAGTCATTAGTGTGTGTGTACGTGTCACAAAGCATCAATAAAAGACAAGGGGTGCTGATCATAGCCCATGCCGGGCCCGATCCCCCCCTAAATATTCATCACAAGGATCACCCTTCCCCCCCTGGACAGCCTCATCGGCTACATTCAGCACCACAAGCTGCGAACAGCTCCCTGCAATCAGTGCACACAGGGCCAGGCACAAACATGGCGGCTCACACAGTACATCGGAGGAGGAGGAAGAGGAGGAGGGGAGGCCACTTACTTCATCTGCTTCACAATGGTGCTCTTCCCAGATTCCCCGGCCCCTGTAGGGTCAGAGAGAGAGAGAGAAAGAAAAGACTTTCCATCAGGATGAATGGACACAGCTCAGCCAGAGCACAATAAATAGGGAATGGAAGCATGCACCCCAGCCAAGGGATCTGTCACTGACATTTCACATATATTATAGGGGGGGAAAGCATCTATGTCTGCCATCTTTTCCTACATCTTATGATTTAGGGTTATGGCACACAGATGGCTTAGATTTAACATCCCTGGGTGCAGGAGTGTGCTAGGGAGAATAGGGGTGTTGCTGGGGGGAGGGGGAGCCCATAGCAGTGCAATGTACATGGGGATTACAATACATATAATGAGCTATAATACAAATCATCTGCTAGGGAACTGGAGCTTGCAATAGGCTTGTGACAGAAGATGAATGATGCATCGAGTGTATGGAGATGTATAGGGCAGGCAGCACAATGCAATGCTGAGATATCCATGTATGTATATAGGACACCGTGCAATGGCAGTATGCTCTCCCAGGGGCTGGGTGTGCCTACATCTCCCACGGAGCTTGCAATCTAATGACGGCTCGTCCATGCATCGGGTGAATCGCATGCAGTACGAGAACAAGGGGGGGTTGGCTCACCCAGGAGCAGCAGTTTGACATCCTTAGCCGCGGTGATGCCGTCCTCCTTCAGGTTCTTCTCGATCTGTTTGCTTCTCTCCAGCGCAGCTCTCTCCTCCGCGCTCAGGGTGCAGCCCATGACTGCTCAGGGGTTCCCGGGTCCGGCGGGAGCGGGCGGAGGGGGGTCCCGGGTCCTGGTCCCGGCGGGTAAAAGAAGAGGAGAGTTCGTTTCCTAGGGCCGGTGGGAGAGCGGCGAGGAAAGGTTCCCGTTTTTGTTGGGTGCCGGTGCGGGCTCTTCGGTTTATGTCAACCCCCGTTCTGTCGGTACCGCTGTATCCCGCTATCTCCGTCTCTGCCTCTCCGCTGCCGCTCTGACGTCACAAGGCGCGCGACCGCGGGAGCGGCCAGACACTGGGAGGGACGGGGGCGCGCACTGGGTAGCGCTTCCAGCCCCGCCCATGATTTTGGCAGCGTCACGTGGGTCCTGCTGTCAACGGTCGTGGGAGGAGCTGCCCCACCGCAATCGAGAATGCATTGAATTGCATTTATTACTACGGTAACACGCCTGTGACCCAGTGTTATTACAGTGTAGGGAAACCCTATCACTAAAATGTAATTTCAAAAGGCCGTTTTAAAATGCACAGCTTTCATTGAAATAATATCAAGAAGGTTCTTATTCAGGCACTTTCTAGTATAGGGTGACAACGTTCTGTCCCTGTTTCCCGAATTATCTCTTGTGTTGTCAACCTGCCACAGGCTCTCCCAATGGAGACTACAAGTGGCAGCGCCAACACAATAGTATGATTCGTTGTCACCATCAGGAAGCCTAAGCACCCCCATTCACATCTGTGTGTGCCAGCAACATGCACAAAGTTGTGCATCCACTGGCATTCCTAAAGCATGCCACAACGTGTCACTATGTAAGATGCATGCAGTGCCTCTGATTGTTATTTGCATCCCAAGGCACCTTGCAGCACCATGCAATCACACCAAAACACATAGCAACAAAGTACTGGCAGTGACTTCGTTGGTGCTATTGTCGTGTGTTATACGCAACACAGAAAAACCTGCATACACATGCGCTGTGGGAAGGAGCACTGAGAAATGACATGCAGTATATACTGGAGAATATGCATGTAGACATGAAGTGGCTCCAAAGATTCTGCAGGATATAACCAGTGCTGGTGTGCAATAAAGGATGACAAATAGGTGAAAACACTCTTTTATTTTACAATATGGCAATATTTCATGATACATGGGGCCTCTATGTCAGTATTTGTATCATAGGGGGCCCTAAGTTTCATTTCTCCCGGGGTGCCCTGGAAAAGGTTACAGATATGCACAGGCACCTCTATGTGTGGGAGGGGTGAGAACATAGACATTGTAGTTAGTTCTTCCAGTTATAAAGGTTTTAAATGTTTTCCTAGTATGTTTGGTTTTTAAGCTCCAGAAGTTCTGCCCAGCATGAGAACAGATACAGATTTAACCACTTGAAGGCCATAGTGTTTCACCCCCTTCCTGGCCAGGCCATTTTTCAGTATTCAGCGCTGCCGTACTTTGACTGATGTTTATTCCGTCATGCAACGCTTTACTGAAACGATTTTCATACCATTTTTTGGGGACAGATAGAGCTTTCTTTTGGTGGCTTTTATTCACCACTGGGGTTTTTATTTTTTACTATATAACAAAAAAAGTACCCTAAATTTTTTAAAAAAACATGTTTCCCTATAAAATGTTATGAAACATTTTTTTTCACCCCAATTTTTTGGTAAAATATAAAAGTCGGGGTCACGTCGGGTAAATAGACACTAAACATGTCAACCTTTAAAATTGCGCGTGCCCGCAAAATCGCAGAAAACGACCGCAGCCAAAATTGGCCATAGGCGACGCTTTAAACGTTTTTACCGCTCATCAGTTTAGTGTCATCAGTGATTGATGGCCCTAGAATTATTGTTCTCACTGCGACGTTCGCGGCGATATGTAACATGTGCTGCATAATGGGCGCAATCGTCGGTTTCGTACATAGGCGCACCCGACGCATGTTTGTGCGTGCATCTGGGGGGCGGGGGACTTTAAAAAAATTTTTGTGTTATTTTTTTTTATTTTTTTTAGCTTCTTTATTTTTTTTAGCTTCTTTATTTTTTTTAATGCTGTAATTTTTTTTTTTTTGACTTAACTTTATTGCTATAACATAGGGGACTAAGGAATCCCCTATGTAATAGCCAGTTCACCAAACAGGTCCTCTTTATGGAGACATCAGGGGTCTCAAGACCTCTGATGTCACCTAGGGACCCCCACAGAAGCTGATGAAGCACAGATCTGCTCCATCAGCTTCTCTCCGGTGTTCTGCACCGGAGAGTGACACTGAATGCAGGAAGTGATGTAATATACATCACTTCCTGCATTCGGGGACAAGAAGAGAGATCAAAGGGATGATCAAGTAATGATCATCCCTTTGATCTCCTGTTAGAGCGTCGCCGTGCCGGTCCCAGCCGCACCGGCCACATCGGAACACGGGACCGGCAGCGGCGGCGAAGAGACGAGCAGTAGGAGGTACGGGGGGGGGCGGCGCACACCCGCAGATCCTGCAAGCGATCGGGCGTCTCTAGAGACGCCTGACCGCTTGTATGTAAACAGCCATCGCTGGCTGTTTACATGCTGACGGTTTTCCCTCTCGTGTGCGGCGCTCAGCGCGGACACGAGAGGGGGGGAGGGGCAGGACGTCTTAAGACGCCCTCCCGCTCTGAGCAGACGTCCATCTGGCCGTTCACAAACGGCCATGGACGTAAGGTAGTTAAAAGGAAGTGCAGCAAAGAGAAGGGAAATAACCATGGATTACAGTAAGGCACACATTACACTATTGTTTTATGTTAAAAAATCTGAGGGTTTAATGTCACTATAAGTCTTGTGCAACTAGGTGCTTTATATACTGCTAAGGTCGCTTTAGGAGGTTAGGTTGTGGGAGAATGTGACAGGTCAGCTATTCTTGGAAGATTCTTGCTGGTGAGACTTGTCACCTGGTTTCTCTCCTCTAGTGTTCTCTATAGGACTTTTTTTTAAATTCCAGTGTTAAGGTCTAGGGCGGCATTTTCCAAGGGGGCAGCAGAAAAAGCCCCCCAAACCAATGAGGCGGACAGGGCCAGACTTGCCTTTGGGCATACTGGGCACTTACCCAGTGGGCCGAGGCTGGGGGCAGCACAGAATCAGGAAGCGACGGCCGCCTAATGAGGCAAACTAGGCGGCCGCAAGGTCCTAAGAATGGCTGCCTAATTAGAGTTCTGCCTGGTGGAGGGGAGGGCCCAGTGACTTGCGGTCCGGCTGGCTTTGTACAGGGGGTGGAGGAGAAGCAGCGGGTGGCTCGGGGCTGGCCGTAGCATGTGTTCTGATGGCGGGATGTCCCAGAAGCCGACTGGGGACTGCAATGTATTCTTTAGATTGAGGTGGGGTGCCCGAGTTTAGTCTTGCCTAGGGCAGCACAAAACCAAAATACACCACTGGGTGTCACCCCTTCAATGGTGGCATCCAGGTGCGGGCCGCACCCCCCTTTTGACGCCACTGCAACCGCCGCATTAAATTCTTTGTACGATGATCGAACCATCATAAGATTTTCGTACAACTGCCCCATCATGCACAGACCATTGAGGATTTCAATTAGCGTATGTTAGCTGACCAAATGTCGTCGACCGATAGGGCGGATTTTCGTTTGCGCATGAGCAGTGTTCTTGGTGCGATTTTTTTCCATACCAAAACGCCACTAATCTATTGAATTTCGTACGATGGGACGGAAGTTTTCTATCCTGCTGGGAAGACAAAAGTCGAACGGTTGTACAGTAAATGCGGTTGTGCACTACCCATCAACTGTGCGATTTTCGTACAAAAACGCGATCGAAAAGCAAACAGAGCGATAATCGTTAGGTGTATGGGCACCTTTACAAAACTTCATTCCAAGGGACAACTCTCTCAGAATCTAATCTCCCTACTACAGTGACTTGAATATATGCAAACTAGGCAGGGCACAATGGTACAGCAGGAAGAGCACGCTGATGCTGGATGTACATCTCTACTAAGCAGGGGCGTAACTAGAAATCACAGGGCCCCATAGCAAAATCTTGTATGGGGCCCTGTGATTTCTAGATAAGTCCACCTGATAACCCAAACAGCCCACCTGAGGGTGACCCTGCAGAGCCCACCATAGACTCTTTATGGTGAGCTCTGCAGGGTCTCAGGTGGGCGGTCATGCCCTCTTACCTGTCTGGCCGATCCTCTGTCCGCCTCCCTCTCCTCCACAATCGCTTGCGGGCCCCGCCTCCTCCGTCACTGGGCCCCACCTCCTCGATCGCCGGGCCCACCTCCCCCATCGCTAAGACATGCCTCCTCGATCGCTGGGTCCCGCCTCCTCCATCGCTGCCGACGACGGGTCCAGCCACCTCCCCCGAAGCTGCTGGTTGTCATCAACTCAGCAGCTGTGAGGAGGTACGCGTCGCTGCACATGTGAATGGCTGCGTGTTTCTCCTCACAGCCGCCAGTGACAGCCAGCAGCCTGAAATGCCGTAGCGACCCAGGCGGCGCGCACGGCAACGGGGGGATGTCCTGGCCGGGCCCCCCTGTGTCCCGGAGCCCCATATGTCCTCATGTCTAATGGACCTTTATTAGACATGATGACAACACGGGTCCTTAGACCACCGGAGCCCGGGGAAGAAGAGTCTGTGGAGACCGGTCTTGCAGCCAGATGGGACTGAGAATCAGGGGAGTCATTTTTCTTTTTCTTGCCCCATAGACAAAACACACACTGAGCCCCACTGCAAGGGTTCATTTTTCAAAAATCGTCCACACTTTGTCACCAGTCTAATTGGTAGAAATTGCCTCATTACAATGATACATTTTAATTTTTCCCTACCTGCAATAGTCACACTGCCAAGTTCCTCCTTGTGCTCACTTCCTCTATCAGCTAAATAATGACCTCTATTGTCACCGATTCAAATATTTCTGATTCCACATCCCTTTGTAATGACTCTGAGTATGGAATATGGGGCTTCCAAAGGGATATTAAAACATTTAAGCTATTTCAAATCATTTACAATGGATGCTGCTTCTTGATGTTTAATAGTTTTAGTTTCTTGCGGAATCAGCCGGTCCCCTGAGCACTGGCCCTGATATCCTGTTTTAGGGTGGATCGTTTCCCTTGCAGGGTCCTATGGAGCCACCCTTGTGTGTGCTAGTAAGCTGTGTGTGCTTCCACAAACATACAGTAACAGTAGATGGACAACTGCTGGAGACTGTG